TGTCATTTGCAGGAAAACAGATGGAACTGGAGATCATACAAAAGCCAGGGGGCTGGAGCTGGAGCTCAGTGGCAGAGCACCACATAAAATAAACAAACAAAAATGAAGGCATCAACAGACACTAGTATGGCAATATGTAAATCAATGGTTGTGTAACTGATGTGATTCTGCAATCTGTGTATGGGGTGAAGGTGGGAGTTCATAACCCACTTGAATCAAAGTGTGAAATATGATATGTCAAGAACTATGTAATGTTTTGAACAACCAACAATAAAAAATTTAAAAAAAAAATGAAGGCTTGCTGTCCATATTAAAAAAAAAAAAAATTTAAAAAAAAGCCAGACTCAGAAAATAAGAATTGCAGGGTTTCTCTCATATGTGAATCCTCTCGTCTATATTTCCATGCCAACAGAACCACTGTAGTGTCCTGGGAGAAGACAGGTCTCTGAAGAAGGGTCCAAGTCGTTCCCATAGGACCAGCAGGGTTCCTGGCATATGTGACAGAAAAGCAGTTCAGCCTGCTCCAGTCAAAGGGTAAACAGGATTATTTAGGAAAGTCCATACATATCAAGAGAGAGACCCTTCTGCTGTAAAACAAGGAAGAGGTATTCAAGGGAGAAAGTGGGCCATGCCCAGAGGGAGAGAGCCTCATTTTGTGTTTCTTAGTGTTCACATGGTATGTATCTATTTCTTTCTTTATATTTAAATCAGGTTTCTTGTAGGCAGATATTATTAGATCCTGCTTTTTCTATCTGATCTAACAATCCTTGCCTCCTAATTGCATGTTTGAACTATTTATTTTTATTGTAATAATTCAGACGGTTGGCGTTAAATCTACTGTCTTGTTATCTGTATTCTACTCACCCCATATTCTCTCCCCACCCCACTCTTTTCCTGCCATCCTTTGGATTGAGAGTGTTTCATAATTATATTTTCCAACAGTTGACTCATTAGTTAGTTATATTTCTATTTTATTTTATATATATGTATATATATACATACACACATACACACACAACGTTTGGTTGCAGAGGGACACATACCTTTGTTTATTTGTTTTTATGTGGTGCTGAGGATCAAACCCAGCGCCTCACACGTGCGAGGCAAGCGCTCTACCGCTGAGCCACAACCCCAGCCCCTGTTTTATTTTTTTTGATCACTCTAGGGCAGCAGATCTGAAGGAATATCCTGGGATGTATGAGATCCTCTCAGGGGTTTGTGAATTGAGATTTTTATTATCATATTCATATTGGCATTCTCTCACAATGGTACAGTGGAGGGTACAGTGGAACTTTCCAGGGGCTACATGGCATGTGATGTTGTAGGAGATTACATGTAAGATGGAGAATCCAGCTGTCTTTTATGAAGCCAGGCATTATAGAGATTTGGAAAAATGTAAAGCAATGCTGCCTTCTTCTGTATTATTTTGGATTAAAAAAATATTTTTCATGAAAATGTTATTTTACATATTATTATATTAACTAATATTGGAATTTTTATGTTTAGATTAATAGATATTTTTTTAAATTTTCTCCACACGTCCTATCCTAGGGCCATTGTCACAAAGTGGCTCAACTGGGTGGCTTAAAACATCAAAATTTATTCTCTCAAGTTCTGGAAGCTAGCTAGGCACAGTGGCACATGCCTGTGATCCCAGCAGCTCGGGAGGCTGAGGCAGGAGGATCATGAGTTCAAAGCCAGCCTCAGCAAAAGCAAGGTGCTAAGCAACTCAGTGAGACCCTGTCTCTAAATAAAATACAAAATAGGGCTGGGGATGTGGCTCAGTGGTCGAGTGCCCCTGAATTCAATTCCTAGTACCCCCTGCACCGAAAAAATAGTTCTGGAAGCTGAAACTCTGAAATCCAGATGTTGAGAGGGTTGATTCCTTCTAGAATGTATTAGGGAGGACCTGTTCCAAGCCTCCCCCGTGGGTTTTGGTGGAGCCTTTGCCATTCCTGTGCCTGCAGCTGTGTCACGCCAATCCCTGTCTTCACTTGGTCCTCTATTTATGTGCCTGAGTCACCCACTTGTCCTTTTAAGGACACAATCGTTTGGGATTAAGAGCCTACCATACTGGGTATGTCCTCATCTTAATTACATCTGCACTGACCCTGTTTCCCAATAAGGTCACATTCTGAGGTTCTGAAAAGACATGGCTTCTGTGAGATGACATTCAACCCCGATGCTATAAATGGTGATAGATAAAACCCCCAAAGAGAAAGGCCCTTTGGGAGTCCTAAAACATTTTAAAAATGTAAAAAGGAATCATGAATCAAAAAGTTTGAGACCCAGTGCTCTAGGGTCAGGATGTATTTCTTCAACTTAAAATATCCTAGCTTCAGATACTATATCACTTCACATATAGGATAAAATCTCAAAATAATATACTCTACTACCTCTCATTTTGGGGTGTAATTATCATAACTTATTTCTATGTATGTTATAAACCCCATTGCTATTATTTTGTGTTGACAGTTAATTGGTTGATTGATTGACTGATCAATTGTAGTGCCTGAGATCGAACCCAGGGATGCTCTACCACTGAACTATATCCATGGCTTTTTTTATTTTTCAATTTGAGACAGGGTCTTGCTAACTTGCTGAGGCTAGGCTCGAACTTGCAATCCTCCTGCTTCAGTCTCCTGAGCAGCTCGGATTACAAGTATGCACCACCACAGTCAGCTATCAGTTGTCTTTTAAATAAATTAAAAATTAGAAAAAAACATAATTTTGTGGAGTATAGAATCCTTGTTTGTTTGTTTCCATACTTGAAGATGTCACTCTACTGATTTCTGGCTTGCTTAATTCTGATGATATAGCTGCTGCCATTCTTCCTGTTTCTCTTTTTTTTCTCTTGTTGTTTTTAAGATTTTTCTCTTTATCACTGGATTATGGCAATTTAATTAAAATAGAACTCATTATGACTTTCCACCTACTTAATTCTACTTAGGACTCATTAAGCTTCGTGGATCTGTGGTTTACAGCTTCCATCAAATTTGGAAAAACTTCAGTCATCATTTTTTGGGGGGCAGGAGTATCAGGGATTGAACTCAGGGGCACTCAACCACTGAGCCACATCCCCAGCTCTATTTTGTATTTTAATAGAAATAGGGTCTCACTGAGTTGCTTAGCACCTCGCTTTTGCTGAGGCTGGCTTTGAACTCACAATCCTCCTGCCTTGGCTTCCCAAGTGGCTGGGATTACAGGTGTTGCCATGTCGCCAGGCTCCTCTCAGGTTTTGACCTGTTAATCCATCATTCTCTTATTAGGCTCTTTGATGCATTTAGTAATATTAAATTTTTTTTAATCAAACGTTTTTAATTTTTTTCACTGGGACGTGATCCAAAGGGAAAAAAAACTTACATGGTCTTTGCAAACACTGAAAATTTTACAGTTAACTAAAATATGAATATGGCAAAAAATAAAAATGGCACAACATGGGATGTAGAATGAAAGCTTTTTCCCCCCACACACAAGACCCATGAGTCACTTTCATACAAGGTAACTACTGTTGTCTGAGCTTTTTCTTCCAAAGCACTTAGTTGTGTTTCCTGAATGTAAAATATAAGTGCTTTTTTTTTGGGGGGGGGGGAGGCGGGGATTAGACCCAGGAGTGCTAAACCACTGAGCCACATCCCCAGCCCTATTTTGTATTTTATTTAGAGACAGGGTCTCACTGAGTTACTTTGCGCTTCACTTTCACTGAGGCTGGCTTTGAACTTGTGACCCTCCTGTGTTAGCCTCCTGTGTTAGCCTCCTGAGCCGCTGGGATTACAGGCGTGCGCCACCATGCCTGGCTTAATGTCTTGGTTTTTTCTCCTCTGTTGTCTTTGAGTTTAATAGAGATTCCTTCTTCTTAGAGTCTGAGCTTTGCAGTTGTTTTGTTGTAATACTTTCTAATTTTTATAAATGGGGTTTTGAACCTCCGCTGATGTAATGATAAGGTTTGGAGGGAAGGGCCCTCCTTCCTTAGGTAATTCCAGTTACAGTATGCTTGAAATAGTCCCCACAGGTTGCCAAGGCTCTGTTCCTGTTCCCTTCTCTCACTTTTAATAGATATTTTTAAAAATTTTCTCCACACGTCCTATCCTAGGGCCATTGTCACAAAGTGGCTCAACTGGGTGGCTTAAAACATCAAAATTTATTCTCTCAAGTTCTGGAAGCTAGCTAGGCTCAGTGGCACATGCCTGTGATCCCAGCAGCTAGGGAGGCTGAGGCAGGAGGATCATGAGTTCAAAGCCAGCCTCAGCAAAAGCAAGGCACATTCTCCTCAGAATGTGTCTTGCAAACTCAGCCCAAAAATACTTTTAATAACCTGCCACCATATCTTCTGTGCAGAAAAAAACACCTTTCCTTTGTACCCTATTATATCCCATATTCCATGTATATATTCTTATCACAGATCTTGAAACATTTGAATGCATTTATTTGCCTTCTCCACAAATGAATCTGTGAGCATCTTTAGGACAGAACAGTGTGTAGCACATAATATATGCTCAATAAAGCAGAGGTTCTCAGACTGGGCACTTTGGCACATGCCTATAATCCCTGAAGCTCGGGAGGCTGGGGCAGGAAGATTGTGAGTTCAAAGCCAGCCTCAGCAATTTAGTGAGGCCCTGTCTCAAAATAAATAAATAAATAGGGCTGGGGATGTGACTCAGTTGTTAAACTGAGTGCCTTACAAGTTTTCCTTATTTTGCTTAGCTCAGAGAGGCAAAATGTAATTTTTTTTTGAATTATATCAATATATTAGCAAGTTAACAGATTTGACTGTCTAAAAAATATTTAGGCAATAGCTGCATTTCTAGGCCCTCATGTTCATCTTGAAATAAAAGGAATAAACTTTAAAATAAAAATCTTATACAGAATCATTTATTTATGCTTTCATAAAAATTAGTGTAGTGCTCACAGTCTAACCGTACACCAGAAAACAAAACATAACGGAACATGTTCTTTTAAAAAAAACCTTCTACCATTGAAATTGTCTTAAAGGAGTTTACCTGGCCTGCAAATTTACTTGTAGGATCAGCTGAAATAAGGACACCATCTTTATCCTTTTGAAATCCACTGTGAGACCAATATGCCAGGTCAAAAGTGAATGACTTCACATGTTCTGGGTTCTTAGGGTCTTGGACAGTGAGGGTGGTCCTGGAATGCATGGAAACCACACATTTGCTCCCAAAGTTCTTCTCTCTCTATAATCAAAGTACAAATTCACAATCAATGATAAGTTTTCTTTGTTATCCAAGTCAATCATTTTGTAAGTCTTTATATCTAGTAGGAAAATAAACCAGGAACTTACCATTCCTTTTTTTTTCTCTAAATGTATTATTCTTAGCAGCTGTTATGACAAACAGGTGTTCCTGTACTCCCTCCAAATTTTCAAAAGGCGTGTGTCTAGTTATATTAATATTCTGAGAATAGTTGGATCTTTAACACCTAGCTACACAAATAGCAATAACTATAGCATTGGAGAGATCAACTTCTAACACAGTTCAATTAAAACTAGTAAAAAAAATTAAAACGAAAAAAACTACCATGTAAAGTCTTTGGAAAGGTCCTATGGGTGAACAATAAATGAATGAATACGCATTCTCAATAAAATCTACCAAAATTCATGTTTTAGTCAGCTTTTGTGTCCCTGTGGCCTAAGACCTGATGAGAACAATTTTAGAAGAGGAAAGTTTGATTCCTCATTTCCAAGAGCTTCTGAACCACATAGGCAGGTTAGTCAGAGTGAAGGCCCCCCTCCTGGTACCCATTTCTGTTTTAGTCAGCTTTTTCACCACCATGATCAAAAGACCTGACACTAACTGCCTTAGAGGATGGAAAAGTTTTTTGGCTCACAGTTGCAGAGGTCTCTGTCCATAAATGACCAACTCACTGCTCTGGGCCCAAGGTGAGGCAGAACATCGAGGTGGAAGGATGTGGCAAGAGAGGAAAGCAGCTCAGGACATGGCAACAAGGGAGCACAGAGACCAAGTTCCGCTCACCAAGGACAAAATATATATATTCAAAGGTATACCCCCCCACCATTGCCGCAGTCCGGCTGCTGCAGCAAAATAACCGGGGGGTGACGAATAACTTGTGTACGTTGATACAGCAGGAGTGGGAGCCGTTTATTGCAGGACAGGAGCAGTATTTATACATTCCACAGAGCTTATCTAATTAGCATAAACTAGATACATCAGTCAACCAATAAGGAATCTCCACACTTAATGGCTTGTTTTTGTTACTTCTCAAACCACTCCCTCTGGCATTTTGCCAGGCACCATCCAGACTTGTTTACGAACTCTAACATTCCCCTGGCAAAATGCCAGGTGTTATTTTGACTTGTTTACAGACTCTAACATTTCCCCCTTTTGTTTAATTTAAATAACGACCATAGTGGTTTTTACAGAAACACCATAAATAATCTGCTACAAGCAGAAGGGGAGGATACAAAATGTCACAATACCAAGCCAATTGATGGCTCCATGCAAGAAGCCCTTGGAAAAATTATACCAGCAATGACACTGTTAGCAAAGATACTGAATTACAATTTGTTATAGATTACAGTTTGTTGTCTCAGTCCAGGTAAAGCAGTGTCTCAATAGATTAACTCACAGTGCCGGTAAATCACAGTCCAGGTAAGTTCTGCAGGCAGCTAGCTTAAATCACAGTCCAGGTAAGTTCTTCAGGCAGCTAGCCTAAGCTGTAGCAGCAGAAACAGCAACAGATCCGAACTCTCGTCCGTTTTTCAGCCGAAGTTTCATTAGGTTAAGGCTCTCATAACCCAATCATTTAACCTCTAAACCTTCTTACGTTGTCTAACACATGAGCTTCTGGAGGACAAGTTATATCTAAACCATAACAATTCAGTAGGAAATGAAAGTCAGTGGTATTTGAAGCAAGACATTTTACTCCTCCCCGCTGCCCATTTGGCAAGATGGAGCCTCCATGCTAGACTATTATACCCCCAAACACAAGACTGCTTCTGTTCCAGATCCCAGTTGGATGTATTTCTTCCCAGGAAAATCAGAATATCAGCATTTCTCATTCTGTCTCCATCTTCCTGTTGCTGAGGTTAAGTCCTGGGTTGGACAGGGGGGGGGGGGGCTTCCTCTTCTGCCCAGCTCCTACTCATAGGAAAGAGGCTCTACTTTAGTTATAGCATGCTGAGATTACGGGAGTCCTGACCACCCTTGTTTCCAGTCCTGAGATCATGGTTCCATACCAGGGGGGAACAAACTGAGAGGACTTCAAATTGCTCTTCTGTCTTCTCTGAATGCTCAGCCTCTGGAGCTGGGTGTTACCAGGGAGCAATTCTCTATTTCCCACAGAGCCCTGCTTGGAGATTTTTTGCCTGGGAGAATAAACAGGCCGTAAAGCCCATGGTGGCTAACATTTCTTCCCAAAATAACTTTTGTGAGGCAAGGAAGCTTGGAGAAATTCAAGCTTAGGGATGCTCTCAAGAATACTAGAAGTTGGGATGAAAGACACAAAGAAAGAAAATCGTATGCCCTCTAGTGTTCAGGGGAGAACTGGGGAAGAGAATAGCTAGAAAGTTCCCTTCTGAGGGCCAGAAAACATATCCCACACTGTTCTCAGAAACTGTTCCTTCAAAGGCATCAGAATTTGATTAGTTTGTAAAGCAATGTGTGTTCTAGGGCATTGTTGAAAACAATAGTTAATAGTGAAGTTTAACAGTTGGGCATGCATATTGTCCCTGCAAAAGGGGACAGTGAAACACCATGTCCCTGAATACCCCCCGTCTCTGTTCCCCAAAACCTAGCCAAACTAAGGGAACAGTGAGAACAAGCCCGAGCCAGAAAGTCCGTTTACAGATTCTGTTGGAGGACACTGGCTTTCTCTCTGAATGTTGGGAACTAGGGCAAGTTAGTGTCATCTGTAGAAAGTGACTGTCTTGCATGTACTTCAGGACAGTTGTTCCTTGGGATGCTGGTCATACAAGCTTAACTAAACAAGATGATGCAGATGACATCACTGCTTCTGCAGCCTAAGATGAAATTCCTCTCTGAGTGGGGATTAGTGTGGGTCTGAAGGTACCATGAAAAGGATATGTGTCACTCATCCAACCAGCTGCCACGATGCAAATACTGTGAGGGAAAGGAGGCGTCACTTAGCAAAGAACCATGAGGGACGGAAGTGCTGTCAGCCTGAACTGAACTCTTCCTGGAGCAGTCACTGAGAGGAAGAGCCCTACCCCAAGCATTGTTATCCCAAGGTGACTGGGGTATACCCCAAACTGTGTCTCCCCAGGGCAAAATGGCTGGCAGAGTTGGAGAGGGGTTAATAGACTCTTCACTGAAAGAATCCAGTCAGTGACTAAACCAATAAATAAGCAAATAAAAATAACAAGCTGCTGGGCATGGCGATGAATGCCTGTAATACCACTGGCTTGGGAGGCTGAGGCAGGAGGATTGGGAGTTCAAAGCCAGCCTCACCGTAGCTGAGGCATTAAGCTAAATAAAATACAAAATAGGGCTGGGGATGTGGCTCAGTGGTGGGGTGCCCCTGAGTTCAATCCTTGGTATCCCCCAAAAAAAGCCATAGAGAGAAGGGAGGAGACTCTGGGTATCAGAGTGTTACAATATAATATCTAAAATTTTCAGTTTCAAAAAAAATGAGGTGCTCAAGGTAACAGGAGAGTATAGCCCACACACTGGGGAGAAAATAAACAACAAAAACTGTATTTGAGGGCAGTGGTTGTGGCTCATGGGTAGAGTACTTGCCTAGCATGTGTGAGGCACTGGGTTCCTTTCTCAGCACCAAATAAAAAAATAAACAAATAAAATAAAGGTATTTTGTCCATCTATAACTAAAATATATTGTTTAAAAAAACTATATTTGAGGCTGGGTGTCGTGGTGCATGCCTGTAATCCCAGCTGCTCAGGATGCTGAGGCAGGAGGATCACGAGTTCAAAGCCAGCCTCAATAACTTTGCAAGGCCCTAAGCAACTCAGTAAGACTCTGTCTCTAAATAAAATATTAAAGGCGGCTGGGGATGTGGCTCAGTGGTTAAGCACCCCTGGGTTCAGTCCCTGGTACCAAAACAACAACAACAACAACAAAAAACTATTTCCCCAACTAATTCTCATATACCTGTTAGGTAGAACTTGAAACAATGCCATATCCTCCATCATAGGGCAAGAGTTACCTCACAGTCACTCTGACTCAGCCTGACCTTAAACTCCAAACCACACTCCATCATCATGCGAAGAAAAGAAATTGTTACCTGGGACTGGAATCCTGAAAACACCTGGTTCAACATGGAAGAGTGACCAGCTCAAAAAATGGCAGTAACAATTAAAGGCCCCTTCACTGACAACCCCCCAGCAATAGACTTTGATAAACCCAGCCTAATTCCCTCTTAAGATCAAGAGCCATCTCGTCAAAAGTTACTGTTACTGTTTTCTGTAAAATATTAGGATTTCTAATTGGCCTGGCAATATTTCTATGTTTTAAACTTGCTTGGAATGCCTGCCCATGCCTTGAACTCACCCATGCCTGGCTTTCCCTGACCAGATAACAACCCTCTCTGAAAACTCAGTGGCACCTCATAAAGTCTGGCTTTCCCTGACCAGATAACAACCCTCTCCGAAACCTCAGTGGTGTCTCATAAATTCTGGTGTTGGGATCTGAATTTACTCCCTAACTTGAAATGTTGAGCCACTTAGATCATTAACCTACTATCTGCTTTTGTATTATGCTTGTCAAAATCCTATTAGCTGTAAATTCTCAAGACACACCCCCACCCCACCCCCACCCCAGCCTTTTGCAACTTTTTAAGCTATAAAATCTCTTCCTTGAGGAGCTGGGACTGCTGGTCTCCAGCCCATGTTAGGGGAGTCAGCCGCTGATCAGCTTCCCTTGTGTACACAAAATACAATCTTTCTTTAATTTGTTTAAAATTGGAGTTGGTGGTCTTTTCTTTACATCATGGTTTAACCACCACAAATGCCAAAAGTCCCCCATTTCCTCATACCCCAGGCTATAAGTGGAAGACAGGTCTCAGTCTCCAGTGGGCCCCTTTCTGCAGGTTTTTCCTGAATAAACCTGTGTTGCTGTTGAGCTTCTCTCCTCTCTCTTGATTTCCTTCATTCAGTTCTTTCCTTATATTTGGTGCCAAAACCTGGGCCTGGTGTTTGAGGTTCCCACCATGGGTGGCCCTCTGGGCTTCTCTTGACCTCAACCCAGACTTACTTTCTCTCTTTCTACCACCTCACCCTCTTGCAGCTCCAGTAAGGACCACTCCCATTGATGGACTTCTCATCCACCACCAGCCATCACCAATTTGGTGAGTGACCCCCTCTTGGATTCCTGAAATCTCTGCCATAGTTTCTCTCTGCAGATACTCTTCCTGTGACAAATCCCAGTGCTGGGTGAGAGAAACCCCCAAACCACTGGGTGGCAATGACTTGCTTTCTTTGGGGACACCCATTGATTGCCTGTTGACCTTAGAGAAACCAAATTCTTGTGGGCTTTTCTCTCTGTCAGAGTCTTTGAGGACCCTTCTCAATCCATTTTGTCCAGCATGGGCCAGACCCCATCCTAACCTCCATGAGACACCCCCTTAGGGTGCCCTCCCAAAGATATTCAGGCCCTGGGTCTACAAGATAGTCAAACAAACCTGAAAGATGAAGACTGTAGAATACGGCTTGGCCTAATACAAGCTGGACAGTAACAGTCACTGGCAGAGGAGGTTTTCAAAATGGCAGAATAGAGGAGGTCGTTTTCCTGGCTGCTCCGTGGAGTGAAACCAAGAAAGCAGACAGGCAACTTCTCAGCAAGGTGGGTGAACAAAAAATAGTGGGGGCAATTTCCTGGAATTTAAAACTGGACATTCAAAGCCGATCCGGGACTCAGGAGGTTGGAAACACCAACCAGAGTGGTTCTCCCTGTGAGCATAGGGAGGGATAAGGGAATTAAAGGAACCTATATTTTTGGGAAGCCCAAGGCAGGTCTGGGTATGGATCATTTAGAGATCAAGGACACTGCCTGGCAAACCTGAAAGACTTGCTGCATGATATTCAAGATACATGTGTGGGGAAAGAAGCCACCATCTCTCCAGGCAGTGTACAGAGGACAAAGGAAGGAACCATTTTGCAGCACTGTGTGGGGGGTCAGCAGCTGAGGGGACTGATTCCTGGCAATCCTGAGATTCGAAATACAGGCCCAGTAAACACACACTGCTTGACATAGAGTGTGCTTAAGTGACCAAGAGAAAATCAAAGTGGAGAGAGGTTTCCACAAGGGAAACTGGCTGTGGAAACCCACCCAGTTCTACCCCTCCCCCTCCAATCTGATCACTTGCAGGACCTGCTGGGAGAGATGCATCTGGCCTGGAACTCAGAAGGGTGGGGTGGGAGAGATTGTTTGAAGACTGAACCTGAGACCAGGACGTGTGGGGTCAGCAGATGATGTAGAAGGCTAAGAATTGGGTCCCCCACCACATGAGTGGACCCCAGGGATCTCCCCTGGGTTGGCTGAAAGCCTGGACCAGCAAGTACTGTTTGCTGGAGGTGCACTGATTTAAAATCTCCAGACCAATTGGCCTTCAGGAAAGAGCTTGTGGCCAACCTAAGCCTGAACCCTAAATTCCTCCAGGAATTTTGCATATGGAATTACCTCTCTCACTCCAGAAATCCAGAGGGTAGAGCTTCACTCCAGACAACACCATCTAAAGCTGCTAAGAAGAGAAACTGAGAACCTTTTGAACTCCAATGGAAAGAATTCTTTAACTTTTCATCAAGATCTTTTTTTTTTTTTAATTTTAATTCTTTTTCTCTTTTTCATTGTGACCTTAATGGTACATGGACATTTATATACATTCATATTTGTTTTTTTCTCATTTCTAGCATTTTTGAAGCCAGTTGTTTTTCATGGTTTAGTTTTTTTTTTTTGTGAATTAGGATTAGTTTATTTTAATTTTGTTTTGTATTCTTTTATTTTTAATTTTTTAAAATTTTTACTTTATACATGTATTTTTTTCTCCTACCTGTTTTCCTTTTCTTCTGCTAACAGCCAGTCTCTATTATTCTTTCATTCTTCCTTTTTTTATTTCTTCTTCCCTCCTCCCTCATAATCTCACACCCTATATCACTTCTGTTCTCTCCCTGTCCACCATTTGAAATTATAAACCCTTTTGCAAACTTGCCGTTTTTATTGTAGGCAATAACTGATCGTATCATTTCTGTTTATAGTAATAATTAACATTGTAGACATCATAATAGGAACTTCTTGGTTTAATGCTCCATATTGTTCGCACTGGTTTTTATTATCTGTCTCCCCCTAAACAGTGCGGTACTAGAAATCTTCAGGGACACTATAAGTCCACAGGGTAGAAACTGTACTGCCTCGGATCATACTGTTAGATGGGTAGACACACAAACAACATGAAGAAGGCACAATATGAAAAAGCAAGGGAACAAATTGTCCCAAACAAACCAAAATACTCCAATAACAGAATGCATTGACAACACCGTGGAAAGAAATGTCAGAGAAGGAGTTTAGAATGTACATAGTTAAATTGATCTGTGAAGTAAAGGTTGATGTAAGAGAGCAAATACAGGTAGCAAAAGATCACTTTAATAAAGAGATAGGAGATTCTGGGAGAGAAAAAAAAGCAAACAGAGATCCTTGAAATGAAGGAAACAATAAACCAAAGTAAAAATTCAATAGAAAGCATCATCAACAGACTAGACCACTTGAAAGACAGAACCTCAGGCAATAGAGACAAAATATATGATCTTGAAAATAGAGTTGACCACAGAGAGAAAATGTTAAGAAACCATGGACAGAACTTCCAAGAACTATGAAATAACATGAAAAGACCAAATTTAAGATTTATCAGAATAGAAGAAGATATGGAGATACAAACCAAAGCAATGCACAATCTTTTCAATGAAATTCCAAACCTAAAGAATGAAATGGAAAATCAAGAGGTTTACAGTACCCCCACTGTACAAATTACAACAGACTCACCTCAAGTCACATTATAATAAAAATGCCTAACATACAGAATAAGGATAGAATTTTAAAGGCTTTGAGAGAAAAATATCAGATTACATATAGGGGAAACCAATTCAGATCTCAGTTGATTTCTCAATGCAGACCCTCAGAGCTGGGAGGTCCTGGAATAATATACACGAAACTCTGAAAGAAAATGGATGCCAACCAAGAATCCCACATCCAGCAAAATTAAGCTTTAGATTTGAAGATGAAAAAAAAAACGTCCATGATAAACAAAAGTTAAAAGAATTTGCAACTGGAAAGCCTGCACTACAGAATATTCTCAACAAAATATCCCATGAAGACAAAACGAAAAAAAAAAAAAAAAAAAACAGTGAAAACCAGCAAAGGGAGGAACCACACTAAAGGAATAGTCAATCAAAGGAGAAACTAACTCAAATTAAAAACTAGACGGAAACCTAAATGACCAGAAATACAAATCATATCTTAAAAATAACTTTGAACACTAATGGCCTAAATTCATCAACCAAAAGACACAGACTGATAGATTGGATTTAAAAAAAGACCCAACAATATGCTGTCTCCAAGATACTCACTTCATAGGCAAAGACATGCACAGACTGAAGGTGAAAGGATGGGGGAAAAAATAATCACTCACATGGATCATGAAAACAGGGGTTTCTATCCTCATATCAGATAAAGTGGACTTTAAGTCAAAGTTAATCAGAAGGGACAAAGAAGTCCGTTTCATAGTACTTGAAGGAATTATACAGCAACAAGGCATAATAATAATAAATATTTATGCCCCAAACAATGAAATGTCAATGTACATCAAACAACCCCTTCTCAATTTCAAGAATCAAATATAACACAACCCAATAATACTGGCTAACTTTAACATACCTCTGTCACCACTGGATAGATCCTCCAAACAAAAACTAAATAAACTATAGAAGTAAAAAATAAAATTGATAATTTAGACTTAACAGACTTATATAGAATATTTCATCCATCAATGACTGAATACACTTTATTCTCAGCAACACACAGAGCCTTCTCCAATATAGGCCATGCTATGTAATCTATCACATATGTTGGCACACAATTGTAATTTTACCTTAATACCTTTTTAGCATCTATAGAGTTATATTGATAGCTCTCTTTCCATTGATATTAATTTTTATTTTCTTGCTTTTATCTTGATTAGAGTTGTTTATTTTTCTATCAAAATTTACCTGT